TCTGTTCTTTCTATCTGTCTCTCTGTCCTGTCCGTCTGTCTCTCTGTCAAATTCAAATTCAAATTCAAATGAGCTTTATTGGCATGACTTATACAGTATTGCCAAAGCATTGGCCATTACATAGGCAATGAACAAATAATCAGTAAATGAATCAGTAAACAAATGCATGAAATACATAATAATCTCTTTTCAGGTTTAAATAGAGTTCCATCTTCTTTTGTGATTTAGTAGCATCTTTCCAATAGTTAATGTAATTTAGTTTTTGTAGTTGTATAATCTGGTTGGGCCAGCAGACAGTGCTGTGCGGGTCGGGCTGTAGTTTGAGCATCAGCTGTGAGAGTGCGCTCCGGGGCCGGTTCTGCTCCTGACACCGCAGGGCTTCGGCCTGGTATGAGCTCGGGTCGCTGTGCTTTAGATGCTGGTAGAACTTTATAGCTCTTTTCTGGATGCTGATCAACAGGGGGTATTGTCCTAATTCAGCTCTGCATGAGTTGTTTGGTGTCGCTCAGTTCACTTTTAGGATGTTTTTGCAAATTTGGGTATGCAGAGTTTCAATTTCTTCTTTTTCCCATTTTGAGAACTCTTGAGTTTTTAGAGGTCCCCATATCTCGCTGCCATAAAGAACAATGGGTTCAATTATTGCTTTTAGGATTTTTAGCCAGGTTCGAATTGGAATTTCATGTCTAATTGTATTTTTAATCATGTAGAAGACTCTCATTGCCTTTGCCTTCAGCTCATTCACAGCCAGATTAAAGTTCCCTGTTGAACTCAGTTTCAGACCCAGATATGTGTAGTCGTGGGTGTGTTGGAGGACTTGGTTTCCTGCTCTGAATATGTATTTATTTTCCCTACACCTGGATCTGTTTTGAAAGATCATCACTTTAGTTTTTGCCAACTTAATTTTGAGAGCCCACGTTTGGCTGAATGTCTGTACGACGTTGAGGAGCTGCTGTAGTCCCTCTTGTGTTTTAGACAGAAAGACTAAATCATCTGCAAAGAGGAGACATTTAACTTCTGATTGGGTCAGGGTTGGGCCGGGGGCAGTGGAATTATTTAATGCTTTGGCTAGTTCGTTTATATATATGTTAAATAGAGTGGGGCTCAATGGGCAACCTTGTCTGACTCCTCTTTGTTGGGAGAAAAATTCTGTTCGTTTATTCCCTATTTTTACAGCACATGTGTTGTTTTTATACATGGTGTTGATCAAATCAAATGTTTTCCCTCCAATCCCATTTTCCAGTAGTTTTAGGAAGAGTCCTTCGTGCCAGATCGAATCGAAAGCCTTCTCAAAGTCAATAAAGCAAGCGAAGATTTTGGATTTATTTTGGTATACATGTTTGTCAATGATCGTGTGAAGTGTGTAAATGTGGTCAGATGTTCTGTGTTTGGGCAGAAATCCAATTTGACTTTTGTCCAGAATTTTGTGGGTTTTGAGAAATGTTTGCAGTCTTATATTAATAATCGAACAGAATATTTCCCCCAGGTTGCTATTGACACATATGCCTCTGTAGTTGTTTGGCTCATATTTGTCTCCTTGTTTAAATATTGGTGTTATTAGGCCTTGGTTCCAGGTGTCGGGGAAATATCCTACTCTCAAAATAATGTTGAATAATTTGACAATTGCAGTTCTGAATTTTTCGTTGGTGTATTTGATCATTTCATTTAATATCCCATCTATGCCACATGCTTTGTTTGGTTTTAAAGCATGTAGTCTCTCTGTAAGCTCTTTTATTGTGATTGGGAAATCTAGGGGGTTCTGATTGTCTTTAATTTTTTTTTTCAGGATTTCTAATTTGTTTTTTAATTCATTTCGAACAGGATTTGTTTCAGTTGTTTTGTATAGATTTCTCTCGGTCTGTCTCTCTGTCCTGTCCGTCTGTCTCTCTGTCTCTCTGTCTGTCTCTCTGTGTTGCTACAGTCCCTCTAGCACTGTAACCACAGAACTCATCAAGTGGCTTTAATTAATGTTCTTCAGCCCTGTTATAGAAATAAGCAGGATGTTAATTACCCTGCCCGTCTCTCAGGTGGTTTAGCAGAGTGGTTGTGAGTTTTTAACAGGGTTTTAGACAATGTGTGTGTGTGTGTGTGTGTGTGAGGCTGATTCCTGGAAAGCTCGAGTCAGCTTTATAGCGCTTTAAACAGTATAGATTGTGTCTGTAAAGCAGCTCTACAGAAGACAATAGAGTCATTTGTTCTGATTACTTAAAAAAGATTCATACTCGATCTTCATATTCTTTGGTCACAAATAAGTGTTATAAGTTAATAAGTGCATGCTTCCTCTCTTGGCGGAATCTGATGTCACCAGCCATTCTTCTGTTTAATATAGAGAAACGTTCACCATCCAATCAATCCTCATGGATAAGAGCAAGCCCCGCCCCCTCCAGTTTTTTAAGTTTCAGCCTTATGGACAATCAGTTTAACATTTGTGATGAAGGACTCGTGGGTCCTGTGAGCGTCACTGAAATGCTCTGAGATTAGTTTGAGTCCATCACAGATCACGTGTCAGCGAACACCAGAACAGACATTAGAAGCTCTGTGAATAAAGATATTGATGGTTGAATGTCTCTCTCTCTCTGTCTCAGATGAACGGGATGGACGGGGACGTTGAATATGAGGAAATCACATTGGAGAGGGTTTGAGACGTCTCTTTTTTTAACTCTTTGATCATATCACAGCACTTCTGCATGAACATCAGTGTGTGTTTGTTTAGGGTAACTCTGGTCTGGGCTTCAGTATAGCCGGTGGGACTGATAACCCTCACATAGGAGACGATCCCAGTATCTTCATAACTAAGATCATACCAGGAGGTGCCGCTGCACAGGACTGCCGGCTGAGGTAAAACACACACACACACACACACACACACGCTTGTTACTTTCCGATTGTTTGTTTGTAATAATTTATTAAATCTTATGAGTGAAAATTGTTTTCAAGTAAATCCTGCACCAAACTTGTTTCGCTGTAATGGAACTTTGGGGTGAAGGTGCGTTGGCTGGACAGGTGAGATTCATTGTGTCTTTCAGGGTGAACGACAGCATTCTCTTTGTGAATGACGTGGATGTACGCGAAGTCACTCACAGTTTTGCAGTGGAGGCGCTGAAGGAGGCAGGGCCGATCGTCCGACTCTACGTGCTGCGTCACAAACCGTCCACTGAGAAAATTACAGAGCTGAAACTCATCAAAGGTCCTAAAGGTGCGTGAGGGGCAGCAGGTGTGCGGAGCTGAAGTTTTCAGCTGATCTGATTGGCTGCTCTCCTGTGCCGCAGGTCTGGGCTTCAGCATCGCGGGCGGCGTCGGGAACCAGCACGTCCCGGGCGACAACAGCATCTATGTCACCAAAATCATCGAAGGCGGAGCCGCGCATAAGGACGGACGGCTGCAGATCGGGGACAAGATTCTCGCTGTGAGTTTGAGCATGTCAACAATAGACAAACTTTTAATGTAGATCTTGGAAAAACATCAAACAATAAACATCATGGTCTACAGAAAACAAAAATGCGTTCTGCCAATGGGGTCGGAAAAATAATCTTAATTCAGAGGGAAGTTTATTTTTCTGACCCAACTGGTAGATTTTTCTTCTTGTTTTAAGCACAAACTCACTCCATTATGACACATTTCTGTTTCAAGTTTTAAAGTCATTTAGCTTCTCCACTAAATGTTAATGTGCAGATTTCTGCTAGAGAGGCAACACCCCAGAGGTGCCAACACTCAATGGGGCATGGCTTGTCTTGGTACTGGTACGCCAAGATGATGGCATCCACTATCCAATGGCCCAACCTCTGCTTTCCCTTCTGCTGACCTCAAAGCTTCTGAAGCTCTGCATGCGGTCCACGTAGATGCACAGGACACAGTGACTCGAATGCTGGGTCTGCCTCCTCCAAGCTTGCCATGCAAATCTCACTCGCTAATGTCCATTGGCTTGTTTTGTTACCACTGAAAGGTGATTGGGGTATCAAGAGAGAGCCCCTGCGTTAATCAGTGCTGACGTAATGTTGAACGAGACTGACTGATAGGGAACCCTGGTTCAGTGTGGTCAATCTCTACAGTGTAACAGTAAAAACACTATGAGAGGCAACCGAAGGTAGTCATTGGATGTTCAGTGATGCAGGTTAGTTGTATCAAATGATCTACAGTTATGAAGTGTAGATCTGTGTGTGTGTGTGTTTAGGTGAATAACATGTATCTAGAGGATGTGATGCATGAAGATGCAGTAGCGGCGCTGAAAAACACAGGGGAGGTTGTTTATCTGAGAATTGCCAAAACCCTTCATCATCATCATCAAGACACCTACAACCCTCCTGACATCACCAGCTGTGAGTGCATACACACACACACACACACACACACACACACACACACTCTGATATTTGTGTGTTTCTGCAGCCTATGCTCCTCATATGGACATGTCTGATTACCCACAAGCCCTCAGTCCCTCATCTCCACGCCATTACTCGCCCGTCCCTAAAGGCCTCTTCCTGGGAGACGAAGACATTCCCAGGTGACCACACATGTTTATGCAGATATGCAAATTGGCACATATCATAGACACTTTCTATTGCTTCTATAGTTCTTAAGCACCAGAGAAAGACGTCTGCAGCCATCTTTAGAATTTTGGGTTTGAATTTCCATTTTATGGTAAAGCTCAGAATATTTCTATGGCATTGAAGAGTAATTAGCTGGTGAAGTGAATTTACTTACTGTAGAGTTCACGGAAGTTATCATGAGCATTGTAATGTTTGAAGCAGATGTCAAAACAAATGTTGACGACGGCTCATATGGTGTACTGTAAGCTCGTGCTCATGTCCATCAGGGAGCCGCGGCGTGTGGTCATTCTCAGGGGCTCCACCGGGCTGGGCTTTAATATCGTGGGCGGTGAGGATGGCGAAGGGATCTTCATCTCCTTCATCTTAGCAGGAGGAGCAGCTGATCTGAGCGGAGAGCTGAAGAAAGGAGATCAGATCCTGAGTGTATGTCCGATCCACACACACGTCTCCTGGGACATGCTTTACGACTGTCACTCACTCGGTGTTACTGTTGCAGGTGAACGGTGTGGATCTGCGTCATGCGACTCATGAACAGGCGGCCGCTGCACTGAAGAACGCAGGACAGACGGTCACCATCATCACGCAGTACAGGCCCGAGGGTGAGACGCACAACACATGCTAATGCTAAAATAGCTAAATCTGCACTGACGAATCAGAGCCCAGCGAGCCTGACACGTGTGTGTGTGTGTGTGTGTTTAGAGTACAGCCGGTTCGAAGCGAAGATCCATGACCTGCGTGAGCAGCTGATGAACAGCAGTTTAGTTTCTGCAGCGGCGTCGTTACGGAGTGGAAAGAGAAGCTTCTTCATCAGGTACTGAAGACAGAAACACACACAGACTCGAAATGAAATTTTTGTTTGCTTAGCTGTTTGCTTATAATCTTAATTTTAAGGTAAAGTATTATTAGTTTTCAGACTCCACTAGCAGATATTTGTTCTTGTTTTAATCATAACCTCACTTAATTTTGATTATTCATTTGTTTTTAGAAAATAAATCTGTCTGTCTGATCATCTGTCTGTCTGTCTGTCTGACCATCTGTCTGTCTGTCTTTCTGTCTGACCATCTCTTTTTGACCATTTGTCTGTCTGTCTGTCTGTCTATCTGACGTCAAGTCACATTTATTTATATAGCGCTTTTCACAATACAGATTGTATCAAAGCAGCTTCAGAGTGATAACATGAAAGTAGTACAACACAGATCAATAATATTGTTAAATATTAAATAACCCCAACTGAGCAAGCCAAAAGCAAGGCGACAGTGGCAAGGAACCAAACTCCATCAGATTGGATGGAGAAAAAACCTTGGGAGAACCCAGGCTCAGTCGGGGGCCAGTTCTCCTCTGGCTTACATTCATATTGTTTATATATAAATATTAAATATAAATATTGTTTATGAATCAAACGGCGCCATAACATATCGCAGGCGTTGAGTCGTCTCTTCACAGGCGTTGGTCTTCTCTTCACAGGCGTTGGGGCATCCGAAATCCCCGTGAGAGGCTGGACACAAAACTGGACCTAACGAACGCCATTTTTCTCGGGACAAGCGTCCCGAGATAACAGCAGAAAGGCAGATGGGAAATAATTAGCATAGCTGATGTTCATAATGATTTCCATTATACGGGAGTCGGTGTTAGAAAACCACTATCTCACGAACTCTCCGCAACCCAACCATACGCGCCGACCCGTTTGTCTAAGAGGCTGTCGAGCCCCACTGGTGCGTTAAGCAGTTTCAGTGGCAAACGGTTCCGTATGGCATAACAGAGGACTAGAAGGTAAGCATTATGTGAATGCTTGACTAAAGAGATGCGTCTTTAATCTAGTTTTAAACTTTAGGGTTAGGGTTAGGGTTAGGGCTGACGTCTGTCTGACCATCTGTCTTTCTGACCATTTGTCTGTCTGTCTGTCTGACCATCTCTCTGTCTGACCATCTGTCTGTCTCTGTCTGACTGACCGTCTGTCTTTCTGTCTCTCTGTCTGTCTGACCGTCTGTCTGTCTTCAGGGCTCTGTTTGACTACGATAAAACGGCAGACTGTGGGTTCCTGTCGCAGGCTGTGAGCTTCAGGTTTGGGGACATTCTGGAGGTGTTTGACTGCAGTGATGAGGAATGGTGGCAGGCCGGAAAACTGTCTCCACATGGAGAACTGGAGGAGACTGGCTACATACCCAGCAAGAGGAGGTGTGTGTTTGTTTGTGTGTGTGTCAGTGAAAAAGCAAAGCAGATGCAGTGAATATACACTCACCTAAACGATTATAAGGAACACCATGCTAATGCTGTGTTTGACCCCCTTTCACCTTCAGAACTGCCTTAATTCTACGTGGCATTGATTCAACAAGGTGTTGACCTTAACCCTCACCCCTAAAACATTCTTTAGAAATGTTGGCCCATATTGATGGGATCGCATCTTGCAGTTGATGGAGATTTGTGGGACGCACATCCAGGGCACAAAGCTCCCGTTCCACCACATCCCAAAGATGCTCTATTGGGTTGAGATCTGGTGACTGTGGCGGCCATTTTAGTACAGTCAACTCATTGACATGTTCAAGAAACCAATTTGAAATGATTCCGTGGCCGTGGCATTTAAACGATGCCCAATTGGCACTAAGGGGCCTAAAGTGTGCCAAGAAAACATCCCCACACCATTACACCACCACCACCAGCCTGCACAGTGGGAACAAGGCATGATAGATCCATGTTCTCATTCTGTTTACGCCATATTCGGACTCTACCATCTGAATGTCTCAACAGAAATCGAGACTCATCAGACCAGGCAACATTTCTCCAGTCTTCAACTGTCCAATTTTGGTAAACTCTTGCAAATTGTCGCCTCTTTTTCCTATTTGCAGTGGAGATGAGTGGTACCCGGTGGGGTCTTCTGCTGTTATGGTTATTTCACAACGAGTGGTTATTTCAGTCAAAGTTGCTCTTCTATCAGCTTGAATCAGTCGGCCCATTCTCCTCTGACCTCTCGCATCAACAAGGCATTTTCGCCCACAGGACTGCCGCATACTGGATGTTTTTCCCTTATCACACATCCATAAACACGACGGTCATAGGTTGTGACGGCTGTCAATCACAATGTGTAGTAGTGATTCGTTCCATGTGTTCCCTGTCGAAAAACGAATGGATAATTCGGGAAATTACAATTTGATTCAGAATAGAATAATGTGCCTCCAGTATAGTTTTAATATTTGGTTGGTATGTGCTGTTTTCCTGTTGTTCAGCCAAGTGTGCTCTCTGGTGCTGGAGGAAAACAGAATTTGTCAACTTGCTGCCTGCTGTGGTTGTTTTAATTCACATCCTTTCTAAAAATATGAAAGTTTTTGTTTTAATATATTCTTAAAGGGACACTATGCCAGAATTGTACCTTAATATACAGTAACAGCTTCAAAGTAATTTCGGTGGTAAACAAACTCATAGTTGGGCGAATCATCCTGGTAGTAAATCTTGGGGGGACGCTGCTGGGAAAAACAGCAATGCAAGTTTGAGAGGAGCGCCCCCGACAAATCTCACGAGAATCACAACATGCTTCACGGCAACGATGTCACACACATCACCCGCAACAGGAAGCACGAAGACACTTGCGCGCATTTCAGACGTGATACTCGACGATGGAACAAACAAAGAATATGCGGTCGGAAGAGACTAGGGTATAGAGAATGAGCCTCTCTGCCCAACCCGTAAATAAATGCGTCAATCCGCAAGTTTTGTTAGAGTTTTTTAATGGTCTAGTGGTAGATCTTTAGCCAAGCGTGTCAGAGGTTACAGGTTCTACATTTTTTTTTGTCTCTCATCAAAACTGAATACGTTCGTCAGTGGTTACAGTCTATATCAAGCAGGGACACGTTCTTGTGCATTTTATTTTGTGATATCACCGGAATGAATAGAGATCCGCAACTGCAATAGATTGAAGAGCGAGTGAAGACTGCCCGCGCGCCGCCACAAGAGACGCGATGCAGCGGACACGAGCGCTCAGCTTGAGTTCAAAAACACAATTTATCTAAGAGAGAGACGCTCTGCGTGAGTGGTATTTACGACATTAGCGACTCTAGGGGTGGAATTCCTGCATAATGTGCCTTTAAAAACCTTACTGTATATTTTTTGAAAAAATGACTTACACTAACTCTGAACATCACACACAGCAACTGATCAGTCTGTGTGTGTTTGTGTTCCTGTAGGGTGGAGAGAAAGGAATGGTCCCGTATGAAGACTCGCGGCAGAGACGCCGTCAGCGGTGAGTGAGTGTTTGGCTCTCAGCTGTGGCTCATAGTGGCTCATGTGACTCTCACATCCTGTGTGTGTGTGTGTGTGTGTGTGTGTGTGTTTCAGGACGTAGCGATTACATCGTGAGCTATGAGACGGTTATTCAGACTGAAGGTGAGTCTTCGGGTCTACTACTGCATGTGTAGCCAGCAGGATTGGAACCGAGGTCTCTGGCATTGGGAGGCAGGCATGCTAACGAGGACAATAAAGACTAGTATTGTACTTGTGTTGCAGTTGCAATAAACACTGAAATGGTGATTGACCGACTCAAGCTCACAGCCTTTAAAGAGATATAGATTGTAATTGAAATCTATATGCACAAATAGATAAGCTGCAAACAAATTAACACTTAAATGAGTATTTTGGATGTTTTCTGTCCACTAGTCTGAAGTTATGGATGCAAAATCTCAAAATTGACCAGTGCATGAAAAACAATGCTTTCGTCGCTAATGTTAAACCATAGAGCTTTTATTTTGGTGGGAAACTGCAGGAAGTCCTGTGCTGTAATTGTAGAATTAATGAAATGTTACCAGTCATATGGACAATGTGATGTCATTTCCTGTCCTGCAGTGCACTACGCCCGTCCAGTCATCATCCTCGGGCCGAGCAAGGATCGCGTCAATGACGATCTCCTCTCCGAGTTCCCGGACAAGTTTGGCTCCTGTGTCCCGCGTAAGACATCCCAATTCAGTTCTCTTAAATAACAGCATCGATTTTGCAGTTCATCAAATGTAACACAAATTTAATTCTTTAATTTGAATCAATTCAGTTCTGTAATAGTGTCAATATTGAAAAGTTAATCATTTATGAACTAAATTCAATTCAGTTAAATACCGTGTTAGTAATCCGCAGTTTCAGACATCTTTCAGAATAGCACACGCATGATCCAGATCAGGGGCTTAGCAAGTCCACATGTCGTCGGTGTATGAATGAGTGTGTGAATGAGTGTATGAATGGGTGTATGTGGGTCAATGTGTAAAGCGCTTTGGTAACCATTGGGTCTGTGAAAGCGCTATATAAATGCAGTCCATTTAACATTTACCAACATATGTACACAAGAAATTATGGAGAAACAAGCAATTACTGCACATGACATGCATACAAAAATATATTTATTTTGGCCGCAAATTAAAAATGGGCTGCAAATATCACCACAAATATCTATTGGGTGGCGTTTATATACCCTGATCCACATAATATGATGCTAAAGACTCGTGACACTCCGTGACACTCCGTGTGTGTGACAGACACGACGCGGCCGAAGCGCGAGTACGAGGTGGATGGGCGCGATTACCACTTTGTGTCGTCGCGGGAACAGATGGAGAAAGACATTCAGAGTCACCGGTTCATCGAGGCCGGCCAGTACAACAGCCACCTGTACGGGACCAGTGTCCAGAGCGTCAGACAGGTGGCAGAGCAGGTGAGACACACACACACACACACATCACTTGTACAGGAGCAGTGTCCAGAGCGTCAGAGAGGTGGAGGAGGGGAAACTCATGGGGAAAGTGTGTGTGTGTGTGTGTTTTCAGCAGGGGAAACACTGTATCTTGGATGTTTCAGCGAATGCAGTGAGGAGATTACAGGCTGCACAACTTCACCCCATCGCCATCTTTATACGACCCTCGTCCCTGCAGAACATACTGTGAGTCAGTGTGTGTGTGTGTGTGTGAGGGAGAGAGAGAGAGTCAATAGCCACGTTTCCACTGCCGGGCCAGTAGCCCCATAGCGCTGCCCTAAACTCTGAACACGCCTTTCTGGATCAAACGTAATACAACCAAACCCATTTCAGCGGGTATTATGAATTAATGTATTTTTTAAGTTATGAAGATAGCGTGTATATTAACTCACTGGCCGTGGCTGCAATAGTGTCCCGATTGTCTCGCGAGTCGCCACTAACAGAGGGATACCAATGGAGACCCAGCACAGCGATGGAGACCCAGCACAGCGATGGAGACCCAGCACAGCGATGGAGACCCAGCACACCGATGGAGACCCAGCACAGCGATGGAGACCCAGCACAGCGATGGAGACCCAGCACACCGATGGAGACCCAGCACACCGATGGAGACCCAGCACAGCGATGGAGACCCAGGACAGCGATGGAGACCCAGCACACCGATGGAGACCCAGCACAGCGATGGAGACCCAGCACACCGTTGGAGACCCAGCACAGCGATGGAGACCCAGCACACCGATGGAGACCCAGCACACCGATGGAGACCCAGCACACCGATGGAGACCCAGCACAGCGATGGAGACCCAGCACAGCGATGGAGACCCAGCACACCGATGGAGACCCAGCACAGCGATGGAGACCCAGCACAGCGATGGAGACCCAGCACACCGATGGAGACCCAGCACACCGATGGAGACCCAGCACAGCGATGGAGACCCAGGACAGCGATGGAGACCCAGCACACCGATGGAGACCCAGCACAGCGATGGAGACCCAGCACACCGTTGGAGACCCAGCACAGCGATGGAGACCCAGCACACCGATGGAGACCCAGCACACCGATGGAGACCCAGCACACCGATGGAGACCCAGCACAGCGATGGAGACCCAGCACAGCGATGGAGACCCAGCACACCGATGGAGACCCAGCACAGCGATGGAGACCCAGCACACCGATGGAGACCCAGCACACCGATGGAGACCCAGCACAGCGATGGAGACCCAGCACACCGATGGAGACCCAGCACAGCGATGGAGACCCAGCACAGCGATGGAGACCCAGCACAGCGATGGAGACCCAGCACACCGATGGAGACCCAGCACAGCGATGGAGACCCAGCACACCGATGGAGACCCAGCACAGCGATGGAGACCCAGCACACCGATGGAGACCCAGCACAGCGATGGAGACCCAGCACAGCGATGGAGACCCAGCACAGCGATGGAGACCCAGCACAGCGATGGAGACCCAGCACAGCGATGGAGACCCAGCACAGCGATGGAGACCCAGCACAGCGATGGAGACCCAGCACACCGATGGAGACCCAGCACACCGATGGAGACCCAGCACACCGATGGAGACCCAGCACAGCGATGGAGACCCAGCACAGCGATGGAGACCCAGCACAGCGATGGAGACCCAGCACAGCGATGCAGACCCAGCACAGCGATGGAGACCCAGCACACCGATGGAGACCCACCACACCGATGGAGACCCAGCACACTTGTAATTTCAGCATTGATGTATTTTATAACGTCCTCGTTTCTTCACATGCCGTCACATTGATGTCGTAGCTTCAGATCATAACGTTCCATAACACCGATAAACTCCACCTTTTACCTTGAGCATGCCTCTAGCCTGAGCTGGCCTGCTTTGGCCCAAGGTATTCGACGGGCCAGAAATCCTGGCCGTTGGCTCTGAGTAAGCCCCGATCAAGCCCTGGAAGTGACGGTGGAAACGCGACTGGCCCTGGCATGCACTAGCATGGCTCGACCGTGGAAACGTGGCTAATGATCATAAAAATATTCATATGATAATATAGTACTTTCCTCAATCACTTTTGTTACAAAAGAAAAAAAAACACAATTCAACACATTTGATGAAGTAACTTAGTAGAGTGCACATAACGACGCTCTCAGAAGCGTGGCCAATCAGACGAGCATGTGGGCGGAGTCTCTCTGCTGCGTGGCCAATCAGATGAGCGTGTGGGCGGAGTGTCTCTGCACTGCTCACACTCGCTACAAACTGGATGCGTGTGTAACCCGATGGAACTGTTTTGATGTCACTAAAACTGATGCAGTTATTCATGAATACTGTACACATGAATGTTCTTGTTTAGTTTATTTTCCAGTTATTAAAGTGATGACACTCTCAGTGTGAACTAAAGCAGAGGGTATTGGTTTCAGAGACATCAGCAAGCGTGTGACGGAGGAACAGGCCCGGAGAGCTCTGGACCGAGCCGTCAAACTGGAGCAGGACTTCATCGAGTGCTTCTCAGGTAGGGTTGGGTACCGAAACTCGGTGCCAATAGGGAACCGGTTCTGACGTAAACGGTAGTAACCAGAACGAATTAGAATGAACATTTCGGTGCCTGATTTCGATGCCTGAGTCTGTGGCATGAGGCGCACACACGCAGTATCTCGCTCTCTCCCTCTCCCTGTCCGACGTGCGCGCACTATACGGTTTATTGCACTGTCTGATCTGTCTTGCACGCGCACTCTTGCTCGCTCGCTCTAGATTCCGGGAGATTTGAACTAATTTGGGATCATCTGGGAGCCGTTATCAATATGCGGAAGGCTTCCGGAACGTCTGCTGATAGCGAGGAGATTAAACACACGTGAAATGTACACGTGGCTGCATTTCACGTGTAAATTACGCGTCAGAATAACGATTGTCTATGGATATAGAAGAATCACCATTCGCACCGCATTGACGCTCACGTCGTCATATTATATTAGCGCGCGCATCATCTGCTCTGAGTTCTCTACCGAAAAAGGAAGCTTGTCGGCAGCGCGAGATATTTGGCAGCGAACGCAGCGTCTCGTTCCCTATTCAGAGAACATGGGTTACACAGAGACGTTCTCTTTTATATGTTTACTCAAAGCTGCGTATAAGATGCAGTGGAAACGAAATATCAAACTGGCTAAGAGCTTAAGATAACTTAGCCTACATGACTAGTTAAAGCAGACAAAACATGGAAACCTGTAGCCATGTCGATATTATATTACCCTGTTAGTAATCTCTATTAATCTCCAGTATAATTACATTGTTTAATATAATATTGTTTTATTTGATATTATGTAAATATGAACTTTTATTTTATATTGGTTTATAACCATATGTTACTTCTATTTATATTGTAAGTTAATATTGTGTCCAGTTTGGCCCTGTAAATAAAGGGGTATTATTATTTTTTGACAAAGTGTGTGCGGTTTCGTTTTCTTAAGTACCGTTTCAAGAACCGTTTAAAAAATACCGAGTAGGTACTGGTATCGGATAAAACCCAACCGATACCCAACCCTATTCTCAGGTGAGCCTTCATCGTCACCATCCTCATAACTGTTGTGTAGCGATAGTGGAGGGCGAGAGCTTCAAGGAGATGATTATAATGATTATGTTGTTGTGTTTTGTAGCGATAGTGGAGGGCGAGAGCTTCGAGGAGATCTACCACCGTGTGAAGTCTGTGATGGAGGAACAGTCCGGCCCGTACATCTGGATCCCGGCGAGAGAGAGACTGTAAACACTGTCACCGGACGATCTGCAGATTCACACCATCATCTCATCCATAATCTACATGTAAATATGCGTCAGATAATATTAAAGTCTAGAGTAGGCGGGGACGCTTACCTCATCGCCATGGCAACAGTTCATCGCCGGGTTGGACTGCTGTAACAGCAACAGACAAAAACACGTGTGAACTAGCCTTAACGTGTGTGTGTGTATGTGAGATGCTTGTAATGATGATGATGATGATGATGATGAAGGTGTTAGGTGGTTTCCATAGTGATTGTGAGCTCAGTGAGTGTAACAGTGTCTGAGGCAATATAGACATGAGCACTGAGCACTTTACTAACACATACACACCCACACACACACCTCTCATTGTGAAATGTTTCTATAGGGCTATTCTTTACATACAATACACACTTTATAAACTGCACAGGGAGAGAAATGTGTGTGTGTGAGTGAGTTTGTGTGTAAGTACAGGTAAGTGAGTGTGTGTGTGTGTGTGTGTGTGTGTGTTTGTGGCTGAGTTTGTGTGAATGCGTGTTAGTGAGTGTGTGAGTGTGTGTGTGTGTGCGTGTGTGTGTGTGTGTGTTGATGAGTATTATTATTTCTTTTATTGTTATTATTCTACAGCTGTACATACAGATCCAGATGATCTGAACCAATGGGGCTTTAAACACATAACACTGCACTTCTCTGAGCCAAAACTTCCCACAATCCATCTCTCTGCCCATACAAACATCATGCTGTATGCTACAGCGACCCATAATGCACTGCGCTCGGTCTACAACATTTAACCAAAGTGTTTTCTTCTTGAGTTTGTGTGATTATGACGTTTGAGTTCGTTTTCTCATTTCAGACTCATTTTCACACATTCTTAGATGCATTTAAATTTGCGAAGCGACAGCCGTTCTGTATAATGTGAAATAAATGGATTAATAAATATATTTCCTGTTGTAAACTAGCTGAAATACTGAAATGATGATTCATTAAACTGTTTTAAATAATTATTCAGGCTTTCGTGTGTTTCTTTGTGTTTACAGGTGAAACTTAATATGAATGATCTTAAAGGGATACACTTTTTTGGGAAATAGACTAATTTGACCACTCCCCCAGAATTAAACAGCGACAGTTTAGCCAATCACAACACACCGGGCCAAACTAACCAATCTGAGCCCGCTGCCTGTTTCTGAGGGAGTGTTTTCATAGACTCAGGAAGTCAACCGCTCGTTCGAGGATAGAGGATAGAGGTTCGAGGATCACGGCTGACAATAAAGGTGAAGTTTATGAAAAATAAGACTTTAAAAAAAAGAAAAAACACGAATACATATTATATTGCACCCCATAAACACAATCATGCAAAGAAAAAAAGCAGTCAACCCCCACTTTAAATACGGACGTAGATGCCACTAAAGCTGCCACCTTCCAGTGCCTAGACAAAAGCCTTGTGATCCTCCTGACATTTTTAGCAGAAGAGTCTTAGGCCAGGAATTCACTGCTGTTCCACAAGACCCACTCAGGTAGACTTGGATAACACTGGGAACACCGAACAGTGATGGCAGAATGACAGCGAAAGACACAGACTCGCCATAGGGAGCTGTACCGTGGAAGAATACACATATGGGATCACCGTAGGGATCGCAACATGGACCCCAGCCTAACACAGGATCCACACTGCTGACGAGTGATAGGCCGAGCACCAGACGCTCCGCCTTGTCCAACGCTGAGGGGTGTGGAGGAACTCAACAGAGTTCGGACAAGGAGAACTCAAGGGGTTAAATAATAATAAACGTTCTATGGGAGGAAAAGTATTGCCTACAGACAAGAGCTATATATAACACAATGCGCAAAGTTTTATATTAATGGCATTTCCATTAATATATATATATACAATATATACAATATATACAATAAATATATATATATATATATGGGTTAGGTTAGGTATGAATATATATATGAAGAGTTCAGATGCAAAAGCCTCTAAATGCCATTTGAAATGTTAGGGTTAGGGTGTAATAGGTAATCTTCATTGCCATTTAAGTGAAATTACTGAACTTAAATATACAAGCTTGATAAAAATGATCATTCTAGAAGAAAATTTCAAATGGCACTTAGAGGCTTTTGCATCTGAACTCTTCATATATATATATATATATATATATATATTTTTTTTTTTTTTGAAAGGGTTTTGTCTCTAAATCTTTAAAGAAAAAAACTGTGGGTCACATTAGTAAGGTTAAAAATATTTAGAACTTTAAATAACCATAAATGTATTGGTTATAAATAAATGGACACTTGATTCTTCAACATGAGCAAGTTTCATCAATATCAAGATATTTAGATACATGAATTAAACCTGTCACTCATATCTTTTAAGTTGTTGCGCTTGGGATAACGTCAACATGGCAGATGTCCAGATATCATTTATACTTAATGTGATCAGGCTATAAAGTACCTACACTTTTAGCACTCGTCAAGTTAATTGGAAATAAGTATGTACCCAATGAGTATGTGGTTTAGAATAAAGCCATGGTCCAGCCATATCAAGGCAAGACAAGTTTACATATCACTCAAAACTGCAATTCCCAGAATTCCTCTTGCTCCTCACCTGCACTTAATTGCCCAGCCATCATCCTCAGCTGCACCTGATCAGCACACTCATCACCACAGTATTTAAACACACCTCAGACACTTTGTCTGGTTTAATGTGGATTATGCACCGGTCTGCTAACCTGAGTTATTTATCCTCTGAGCTTTCACAAAGATCCTGTCTCCTAGTTCCCTCGTCTGTTCTCGACCTCTGATGCTGAAGTTTCAGCCTGTCCTATGAGTGTGTGTGAGTGTGAGAGTGTGGAGGTGGTCTGAGCAAGGATGCAGGTCAGGCACTTGAGGTTTTTTTTGAGCACCCATTTATTTTTATTGTCTTGTTAATGCACTTTCTCACACCTCATTGTTTTACAGCTGTCTGATGTCTCAAAGTCCCGAACGTGACTTGGTCAATCCCAAGACGAGCCAAGTATGACGATTGGATCAAATGTAGACCTGGATTTGATCAAAGAACAAAGTGACACCACCTCCCTCCACCAACTTCATTAAACCTTGGAGGGGTTTGGGAGAGCAGGTATACTTGTGTGCTATGGTCATTAAATGTCTTTATTGAGGTAAATGTAACATTATGTGACTGTAGTCACTCCGGCTGTTATTGAACTTTTATCCGCAGTTGAAAAACACTGATTGGTCGACATTACAGTGTGTATGAGGCATAGATTTCAGTAAGTTACTGTATCTTTCAACACGCACCTATTGATCATTTGTGTTTTTCTATTAACTAGGATTTTAAAGCGATTTGATCTGTTCACGTGCCGCTTAGACTGTTACAGTGATCGGACACATTTAAAAGCGCGATATTTATTGTTCGAATTTCATAATAAAATTAACAGAATCCGAGAGCTGTGAATTTGTTCCATATCAAAAGTAATCTTCTCTGTCCAGTCTGTTCGGTGTCGTCTTTGCTTTGATTTTTCTCTGTGTGAGAAAATGGGCGTGTGTGTGTGTGAAAAGTGTTAGTTGTGAGTCCATTGTCAATGTGAAATTTGGCAGCTCTGTGTTAATCTTTTATTTATTTTTTATTATTATAATTATTTTTTTAAAGCGGTCTTGTAGTTTGTTCTTGTTAATGTCGACGTGTAGGCTACTATGTGTGAATGTGGATTGTAATCTGCAAGTGTGCCATTATTTGCCTTTTTTTTTAATCTAGTAGTACTTCCAAAACTCTTCTCTTTCACCTTTAAACTACTTGTATTTATGCATTTGTCCTATTTGTTTTAGTCAATTTTAGTTGTACTTCTCAGAATGGTTTCAACATGTCTTTATGCCACCTTATTTTAGTCTTTGCTCATTTTCTTCATTTTGTATTTATGCACTTCTGTCCTTTTCAATGTGCCATTTGTTTAAATTTATGATTGTCTTTGTAGCACTTATGTTCCTTTGCTCTATATATATAAACTTGCAGCTTGAGGTTTCACTGCAAAGCAGTCGGTTAAGTGTTCACTGCGTGTCTCTTCACAGTGGCAGATAAATAAACTCAACGGTCCGTGGGGTACAACAGTGTTCGCCTCTTCTTATGCAGTCAGAATTTGAGAACTCAGGTAAGAAATGGGCATCCAGCGGGTTTAGGTTCACACAGCAAACAGTGCATCACATCACTTCATCTCAAAAATTCAGCACTCAGTGGGAAATACACATATATGGCCGTCGCCCATCTTCTAAACTGGCATTCACATCAAGAGGTCCCACAGACACAAGAGAGGAGGCTGGGCTACTCACAATCTCTCACAAATGATCTTCTGTCCCGTGGTTACCTCCTTCTCAGGTAGGTGTTTTTTTTATTATTTTTTTTATTTTTGTGTTAGTAGCTCTGTCGAATGGATTCATCAATCCTTGATTTTCTTCTTTACTGCTTTCCTGGTGCTTGTGTTCTTGATGTTGGTGCACAGGTTCCCGAGATCCTGAACGGTGACGAGCGCTTCAGAGCTGTTGTACTGCACGTGGGAGCGAACGACATCAGGCTGTGGCAGACGGCCGTTCTGAAGGACTACAGGAGCCTGATCGAGACGGTACGCAACACATTGCCTGCAGCAACAATCATTGTGTCTGGACCGCTTCCCACATACAGACAAGGACAGGAAAGGTTCAGTAGACTATCTGCACTAAATTAATGGTTTATGTTATTGTGTAATGAACATAAACTGCTCTTTGTAAATAATTGGAATCTGTTCTGGGAGAGACCGAGGCTGTATTGTGCTGATAGACTTAACCCCAGCAGAATCGGCAGAGTCTTTCCTTCACTCTTTAACCTATTTCTTATGTGCACATCTAACCCTTTTTGGGTCTTCTTTAAATAATCTTTTTTAGATTATTATTTTTTTTCCCAATAAGTTTCTCTAGTCGTCTTCTATTTGTTTTTTTTGTTTTTTTTTTTTCAAAAAAAGAAAAATTTCTAATCCTTAAGCATATCCACGCACATGTTATTTAGCAGGTGGTTAACTGTTCAATTACTGGCCAGAATTGAACAGTTAAAGCCCCACGTTGGGTGCCATGTTTTACGGTGTGTGTGCTTTAATCTTAACACCTTTAATCTTATTATTTATTATCCTCAGGTTAGGTCGAGTAAGTCAAATCTGCCCTAAATCATTAGCATTCGAATGGTACTTACAATTTGTTCAGATGACTTCTCTGTGGTCAGTTCTTGCTTAAGGTTTATTAACACTGCTAGACGATTACTTGTAATTAGCATTAGTTATTTATTAATGTAAATATTCCAGAAAAAAGTTAGGCTCAAAATTAAATTCTTTATGCTCAAACTCTGGAATCTACTCCTGTGTAAGGGAAATCATTATGGACATCAGCTATGCTAATTATTTCCCATCTATTTTCTGCTGTTATCTCGGGACGCTTGTCCTGAGAAAAATGGCGTTCGTCAACTCCAGTTTGTCGGAGCTGTTGTGCTGAACGTGGGAGCGAACGACATCAGGCTGAGGTTCTGAAGGACTACAGGAGCCTGATCGAGACGGTACGCAACACATCGCCTGAAGCAACGAGCCTTGCACGTCTAACCCTTTCTGTGTCTTCTTTAAATAATCTTTTCTAGATTTTTTTTTTTTTTCCGACTAAGTTTCACTAGTCGTCTTCTAATTGAGTTATCTTTAAAAAAACAAAATAAATTTCTAATCCTTAAGCACATCCACGCACACGCTATTTAGTAGGCGCTTAACTGTTCAATTACTGGCCAGAATTGAACAGTTAAAGCCCCACGCTGGGCGCCATGTTTTACGGTGTGCGCTTTAATCTTAACACTTTTTAACCTTATTATTTATTATCCTCAGGTTAGGTCGAGTAAGTCAAATCTGCCCTAAATCATTAGCATTCGAATGGTATTTACAATTGTTGAGATGACTTCTCTGTGGTCAGTTCTTGCTTAAGGTTTATTAACACTGCTAGACGATTA